GTCCTGCCACAACTCTCGCCTCTTCTCGTGCACTGAACGAAGCGAACGCCACAGGATCTCTTTGTAGACGAGCTGGTTGATCGTCTGAAGGGGAAAACTCATAGTTTGTAGTTTGGGTTTGACATATATCTTTTGTGACACCAGTCCTCGTATTCACTGTACCTCTTTCTGCACAAATAAGCAACTTGCAGCGTTTTTTTGGCTTCAGAAGTCCCACCATCAAACAATCTACTCCCTACACCTTCCCTGGTCTCACCGGTCCACTGTTGTCAACAACTTTATACACAGCTAAACAACAGTCTCGGTGCTACGTTGGATGTTGTTTCATAACTACTTTTTCATGTGTTGCTGACCAACTTTGGGTGTCAGTTCACATGTATCTGTATTGAACTTGGTGCAAAATTGTGTAGTGATGGCAAGGTATGAACTACAAATGTAAATAAAGAAGAAAAAACATTCTCTTGGTCAGGGAAACTCTTGCATCTTCGGTCAGCGCTCTAGATACAGTTAGTTCTTTTAAGAATATCTTCAGACCACAAAGTTTTGATGTAAGAATCAGGATCTATGAGATGAGGACAGATTATAATCTGCTCATCTTTAAAGAATTTAAAAGTTAATTGACATATGTTGTTAGATTCATGGCAATGCCCAGCTTTTCATGACAAATGACACCAGCAGAGGGAGAAATATTTATTGATCATAACATACTAAACAGGTCAAATTATGAACAAGTTTACATGTTTCCTGTCACTGTAATTTTATTCTACAACAGCGTAGCCAGAGAATATCTTGAAAGTCACTGAACTATCACAAACCCTGATAATGTATTCTAATTACAATCACAAAACAAGGTCATGAAACACACGAAGCCCTTCACCTGACAAATACAAACCCCCAAATAGGAAAAGACAAAATTAATATACCATCACAGCAGAAAAGTAAATGGAAGATGACAGTTTAGATTAATTTATATCGTATAAATATCAGTATGTCTACATGGTAATGTATGTTATCTCTTCAAAATGTGTCAGACGCAGATGAAGTTGAGTTTATCTTCACAGTCCCAGTTCTCCCACAGTCCCTCTTTGGTTAAAGCTCCACAGCGTTTCCTGATTGGACACTGGTGGTCTTGACCTCTTGCTTGGGACCAGGCCTCATCTTCCAGAGGGTCACCGTTCACGCACATCCAGCGGTCACCCAGGAAACGCAGGCTGATCCACAGCTGCTCAGTGTGGTTGTGCTTGAGTACTTGAGTACTTTGAGTGTACTCAGACTGGGCCAGGAGGAGATCGGTCTTAGAGGTCAAACTGGGGAGATCAGTTTGTTTCTCTCTGCAGTGACTCAGAGCGTCCTCCCAGGACATCTTCTCCTCCACCACAGTCACATTGATGCAGTAAAAAGGATCGTCGAACATGCCATTGGAATCATGCCATTCTCCTTTTTCAGTCATTAATCCGTTGTTCTCATCGCCCCAAAAATTATCAGGTTGTCCGTTTGCCCAGTTCGCGTATGTAACATGTCCACCTCCCGACCACATCCAAGCAGTGTTGTTGGGGTCTCGCTGAAGTCCGATCCATCCATAAGAAATGCGTCCACCTGCATCTTTTGGCAGCTTGTCTATCTCACTCTGGCTATTAAAATAGGAAAGATCAGTGTGATGTTGTCGACAGTAAGCCTGAGCATCATTCCAATTCAATCTCTTAGAGATATAAATGTGTGTTCGTATGTCTCCATTAACAGCAATGCAAAAAAGAATGAGAGCGGTGATTCTATCCATGATCACTGCTCTGTAGTCCAAGCTGACAATGTT